TGTACGCGTAGTAGCTATCGAAACTTAATATAAAAGCTTAAAAGAGCGATATCTTCGTTTTTCTTCTTACTTTTATAGAAATTAATCTTATTATAAGATCGATATATAAATATTTATTTATTTACTATTAAGTTTATATTATTATATAACTCTAAATCTACTTATATTTAATTATATAAGTATATCTAATAATCTTAATTCTTTTATTCTTTAAGAAATAATAGTTTAAAATTAATATAATAGTTACTATTTAATTACGATTATAACGAAATTAAAATAATAATAAATCTTTTATATTCTAAACGATATTAAACGAAACGTAACCTCGAATTATAAATTTAATAAATCTTAATTATATAAATAATAACGAAGTTAATTAATTAGAAGATCGTAATAATAATATCGTTAATTTTAATATTAATAAATAAATAGTATAGCGTACTCGTCGTCGAGATCTATTATTAAAAAGATATCGCTTTATAACTCTTAATAAAGAAATCGATACTTTTAAATATAATATTATATACTAAGCGATAATAATATATTATTATTATTATCGTTATATAAAAGTAATCTAGATTCTAATATAAAATCGAAGAATATTTTTTTTAAAAAAAAAAATTAAGATATTTTTATAATATTTAATTTAAACTATTAAATTTATATTATAGTAAATTTATATAAGAGTATTAAGAGTAAACTTATAATAATAAAATAATACTTTATATTAACTTTAAATATCTTAAAATTAAAAGAAATATAATTTTTTAGAAAGAATTCTAAGAAGTAATAGTATAATAAGAATAAATAAAATTCTAAGATTTTATATAGTTAAGACTAATTTTAAAAAATTTCTTCTTAATAAAATTAAGAATCTTATTAATAGATAACTCGATATTAATTAAAAATATATAAATACGAGATAAAGGTTTAATTAAACTATATATTAATTTAATACTTATCTTATCGAGTTAGAGATTTAATTACTATTATATAACGAATAATAAAACTCTATTTAAAGATTTAAAAGATTATCTTTAGAAAAAACTATCTTAATTAATAAAAATAATTAATCTCGCTAATTATATACTAAAAAAATATAAAATATAAAATAAATAAATATTTCTTATATATTTCTCATATAATTATTATATTAAGAGAGCTTCTAATTCTCGAAATTATAAGAAAAATAAATTTTAGAAGAAATAAGAGATTTAATTAAATATGAATAAAGATATATATATTTTATATAAATAAGATATATTATAATAACGAAATAAAAAGATAAAAAGATAAAAAATAAAAAATATCTTAAGAAGATTAAATGCTATAATTATTATAAGAAAGGTTATTATATTAATAAATATAAAATACCTAAATAGAATAATGCTAATAGTATTTCTATCGATTTAATTAATAAACTTAATATTTATATTATTAAAACGTTAGAAAAAAAATTAAACTTTATAATAATAAAAGTAAGTAAAGAAATACTTATTATATTTAGTTTAATTTATAAAAATCGAGTAATTATTAAAAACGTAGAATTTAGTTTAATATTAACTAATATTTATTTTAATAATAAAATCGAGATTAATATAATTAGCTAGCGTTTTATTCTCGAGTATAATTTATAAAAACTTAATATTAAGATAGATAAATAATAATTTTATATTCTATAAATTTAGGCTTATAAATTAAATTTATAGAAAGTAATTTAATTTTAAATCTAATTTCGAGATTAAATTCGATTCTTAAACTTCGAAGAGTAAAAATATCTTAATTTAAGATTTACTTAGAATTATAAGATCGAATTTTAAAAAATTAAAATTATTAGAAAGCGTAGATTAAGTTCTATAATTTAAAAAAAAGTAGTAAAATTTAATAGAAAAAAGAGAAGTTATATTAATAATAGATTTCTAGAAAGTTAATTAACTTTAGATTAACTTAAATTTAATTAATAAGAAGTTAATTTTAATATCTATTATAGTCTTTTTATTTTAATTACTATTATTATTATTTTTATAGTTTATAAAAAATTTATTAGTTTTACGATTTTTACGAATTCTACGATTTTTTAGCGAGGGAGATTAATAGATTCGAATCGAGGATAAAGTAAAATAGTTTCGAAATTTATTAAAATTATTACTACTCGACTATTTAAGCTTATATAAAAGAGTATTCTTAATAAAGTAAATAAGTTTTTAATTAGCGATATTTAAATCCTCTATCTTTAAATATTTATAAGATTTAATTTAGTAATTCTTTTTTTATCTAAAAGTCTATATTTTATTCTATAATTTAGAAAAAAATTAGTAGAAAATAAAAAAGTTATTTTAAAATTAAATAATATATATCTAATTAGAATTATTCGACTATCGAGTAAACTTTAATAAGCGAACGTTAATAAACGATATTTAAGATCCTTATCCTTTAATAACTATAAGATTAAATTTTAAAATTTTTACGTTATTAAAAAGCGTAATCTTTACTCTATTATTTAAAAAAATAATCTTAAAATTTTAATAGAAAATAGTAAAGTTATTAAAGGATTAAAAGTAAAAATAGAAGATTTTAATAATTGCGAACGCTAATTTATTTATTCGCGATAACTTAGTCGATCTAGTTAAAAAGCGTAGCGAACTCGAAATTATAATTAGCTATATATATAAATTTTAAAATTTTAAACTTAGCTCTATCTTATTCTTTTATATATATTAATTAAATAGATATTAATATTAGCTAAAAATAATAGATTTTATTATTTACTATATTAAAAATTATTATATATATATAAAAAAATCTATAAAAAGATTTAATAAGATTTATTTAATTTTTTTCTTATTTTTAAATAATATTAATAAGATATCTCTTTTAACTTTATTATATTATTATCTACGAGTAAAGATCTATAAATTAAACTTATAATTTTATTTTTAATTAGAGCTATTAAGTAAATAGATAAGTAATCTTTAATAAGTAGACTTTAATAAGTAAACTTTAATAAATAATATTAGAATTCCTTACGCTTTAATAATTATAAGACTAGATTTAAGAATTTTTCTTTTTTTAAAAGCTTATATTTTATTCTATAACTTAGAAAAAATTTAATATTTTAATAGAAAATAAAAAAGTTATTTTAAACTTAAATAATATAAATCTATTTTTTAATTAAAGCTATTTCGCTATCGAGCGAACTTTAATAAGTAATATTTTTTTTAATAATTACGAATATTAATTTATTTACTCGTAGTAACTTAGTCGATTTAATTAAAAAGTATAATAACTGTAAATTTATAATTAGCTATAAATTTAAATTTAAATTTTTTAAACTTAATTCTATCTTATTTTTTTATATATATTTATCTATCTTAGATATAAGCGCTTTTATTAATATATTATAATAATTATAAATAAACTTAATAAGAAGAAGAAATTTATTCTCTTAAACTTCTTAGAAGTGAAGATAGTAATTTAAATCTTTATCGAATTTATATAGCGAGAGAAAGAATATTTATTTATTATTATCTCGAATCGAGATATTTAATTTATAATATATTTCTAAAAAAGACTATATAAAAGAATTAGAATTAAATTTAAACTCTTTATTATATTTTATTTTAAGATTAATAAATAAATAGAGAACGTTAACGTTATTTTAAAATAATATTTTAAAGTTTATATTAATTATAATTAAGATAATTAGATAAATCTATTATTAATAGTAGAATTCGAAGTTAATTTCGATAAGAACGCCTTATTAAGCGTATTATTATTTCTTCTTATTAAAGAATATATTTCTTACTTAAAAATAGAATTCTCTATTCTTTAAAATTAATTTATTAATTAAAAAGTAAAAAGAGATATTAAATTAATTAATAGATTTATTAAGAAGATTAATAATATAAGAAATTATTTAAAAAGTTAACTTAAATAATTATAAATTTTATAAAAGAAGTAAATTAATCGCTATCGACTTTTAATATTAATATTAAAAATATAATTATACTTAATAGAAGAAATATTAAAATTATATACTTTAATAAATTAATAAATTATAAAAATTTCGAATTATTTAAAATTATTAAAGCTTTAAATAATTTCGCTTATAAGTTAGAACTTTTAACTTTTATAAATATTATTTTATTTTATTTTATATTTATAGTTATTATATCTTAATAATAGCGATTTATTATTAAAATAAAATAAAATTTTATTATTATTTATTAATATTAATAAAGAAAATAAAATCTCAAATATTAAATATTAAAGAAATAATATTATTTAAAATAGATAAATAAGAAAATAATTCTTTAATTAGTAAGAGAGAATATTTAATATATAAAATTAAATATAAAGATCTTAATAGTAAGAAAAATCTCTTTTAATAACTATTTATAAATATAATAAAATATTCGAATCTAATAGCGAATTTTTATTATTATTATTTTAAGATCGTTAATTCTTATTTATTATTTAAAAGATTTTTAAAATAATCTCCTCTATTAACGCTATTAATCTATAATAACTATATTAATTTATAAAAAAATTCTAAACTCGTTATAAAATACTAAGTTAATATATTTAAGAATATTACTTTATATAAGTTTAGATATACTTTTTATAAGATTAAATCTATTATATAATAATCGTTATTAAAGTTTTAAATTAAAGAGAGAGATAATATTATTATTTTATTTATTTTATTTATTTATAGCCTAATTACGCTTAGCGTATTAAGGCCTTTCGGCCTTTATATTCTACTATGAAACCCACACTTGTAATAATTATTCTACATAGATAGTATTCTCTTCACACTACAATAAAGAGTTATCACACACACCATTGAGTCCCTGACATGCGATCAGCTTTATACCGAGACATGCGACCTGCTCGAAGCCCATAAGATTGATTCAAAAGCAGATATATCGGTCGAGTACGTCCAGGCGTGGCAGCTGTTTGCCCACTATGAGCTTCTGCGTGTGGGCGAGTATCAGGCTATGTTGACGGCAGGCCGCTGCCTCCGACTTGTGCTTATGGCGCGTCTTTCCGACATCGATTCCCCCGGGCCCGACCGTGTCAATTGTCCACAGGCTTCCCCTGTCCTCATCAACTGCGAATCCGTCCGCGGGGACACTTTTTCGATCCTGGAGGAGCAGAGACGGGTGTTCTGGGTCAGCTTTTGCCTGGACCGCTGTCTCTGCCTGCGCAACGAGTACCCCCTCACGCTGCAAGAAGACATGGTAAGTGCCTCCCCTTGGCATTCGAGCGGAATCCGGATAGAAGTGAAACCCTCTGTCGCTGACCAAAACCCCTAATCTGTAGATCTGTGTCCGCCTCCCCGCTCCCGAAGCCAACTTCCAAAACAATCAATCCATCCGCACCACTTTCCTACCAGAAGCCATATCAGCCCCGCAAAACACCCCACCCCTATCCAGCTTCGCCGAATGCATCCTCGCCGTAACCCTCCACGGCCACTGCCTAGCCCTCCAACGCTTCCCCCCTTTCCCCGACCCCATTACAAACCCCGTCGATACCAACCCACCCTTCTGGTCGCAACGAAAACACCTCGTCCTAGCCGTTGAAACCCGCCTCCGCGTGCTCGGCACCTCGCACGGGTCCCGACCCCTCGACTCCGACCCCATGCTCCTGTTCGCCCACATACCCACGCCCCTAATCCCCCCCACCCCCGGCATCTAAGGCCTATATAGAGGTTTACAGACTGTGCAACGCTATGAATAGTCACATAACGATGGCGGCCATATGGATGCAAACCTTCCGGCCATTATTCTTATTCTGCTCCCAGACCTCCCGGCTCACGTGCGCACCTGCTCCACAGACTTGACATCCGATGAGACATCCATTCCCTCCTCAGGTGTGCTATCGTTCTTGAGCTCCTTTTGCCGCTTGACCTCTTTGAGGTTCGTAAAGCCCATTTCCCATGCAACAAGCATGACGCTGCCGAAAACGGCAATGCCGAGATACATGGTCCGATCAATCGCCTTGCCATAGGCCACCAGGACGGCGGCCAGTTCAGAGGGAGTCAGGCCCGCGGCGCGGATGTTGCGGGTACCAGCCTCGATGATGACCTCGGGGCTGGGCCCGATGAGCGCCGCTCGCTGCGTCAGTTCTTTGCGCAGGCTGTTGTTGAAGATGGCGTTGGCGACGACGACCCAAACGGCGGCGCCCACGTTCTGGGCGAATATGACGATCGCGATGGCCGTGGGGATCTGTTTCAGGGGGACGAGGTTTTGGACGGCGATGTATGACTAAATGTGTAGGGAGATGTCAGATTTGGAGCACGACCCGGCAGTTGATTCGAAGCAACTTACACCTGAATTTCCCACGCCGCTACCGATGCCGTAGACGCATAAGTAGCCGAACCATTGCCCGAAGGTAGTTGTGGGGCTCAGCATTGACATGAGTCCGTAGCCTATGGTTGCGATGGCACTACCCGCTAGAATCCAGGGTAGATAGTAGCCCGTGACTTGTATCAAGCCGCCGGTGACGAAGGTAAATATGACCAGGCCCAGTGTTACCGGAAGCAAATGCACGCCGCTCATCAGAGCCGAATTATTGTTGATGGTCTGGAAATATATGGCCAGGTAAAAGTCGCCGATGAGAACGCCGCCGAGGGAAAAGAATTGCGTCAGTGATGCTGATCGGACGACAGGGCTCCTAAGAAAGGCAAACGGGATCATTGCGCCGTCCCCTTCTCGGTGTTCCCAGAATAAAAAGAGCGCAAAGACAGCAGCGGCTCCGCATAGTAGGCCAATGACGACCGAGCTGTCCCAGGCATACTGGTTTCCGCCATACTCGAGGGCCAACAAAAGCATAATCGCAGCCGGGCTAACGAGGGCAAATCCGACCAGGTCTAGCGACTTGACGGCGGTGCCGAGAACGTGGCGCCAGGGAGGCTTGACAGTTGCCTCTGGCACTTTACTGAAGATGAGGCAGAGGCCAACGACAGCACCGATGGGTAGGTTGACGTAGAAGCACCATCTCCATGAGACGCGGGTTGTGAAAGCACCTCCAACGATGGGGCCGCACGCAAGACCAAGCTGGCCAATACCTATGTTGATTGCTTGAAACAACGGCCGCCGCTCTTTTGGGATGCAATTGGCGACGGTGGTAAGACAGCCAGTAAACAGACCGGAAGAACCAAGGCCGGCGATGGCGCGGCCGATAATGAACATAGGTGACGATTGTGCCGCACCGCATATGGCCGAACCCAGCTCAAAGACGAAGAAGAAGGCGAGAAAGGTCCACTGGGGAAGATTTAGGCTCAGTCAAGCGAGCGGACTAAAGGGGCGGCAGTCGACATACCTTGAGGGAGAAATAGGTGTAGATCTTGCCACTCAGTGGCTGAAAGGCAGCGCTTGCCAGTTGATAGGCACCCGAGTACCAGCCGATGTCTATCAAGGCGTCGAATTCGGTAGTAATGGCGGGCGTTGCGGTGGAAACGATGGCCAGGTCGAGGAAAAGGAGATAGTATGCCATGGTGGCGCCCGCCAGGATCGAGGCAAGCTTGAGGCCTGTAGGATAGTCGTAACGGTGCTCGCCATCGTTGGCGGGATCTTGGCCTGAAGCATTCTCATTCTCCACGACGCTCTCAACATCTTGTCCAGGAGGAGTATGGGAAGAGTCCGAGGTGGGGGAATCGACTACGGCCTCGACGGGGAACGCAGCCCGGTCTGGCTCCATCTTTGGGCGGGTGGGGAAGAGAAAGATTGAAGCAAGGCGGAAGAATGATTGAAGATAGGAGGAGGAGGAGGAGGAGGAGGGAAAAGGTTGGGGTGGGTTTTGTAAAGTACCTAGGTAGAAGAGGTACTTAGCCGTCGTTCAAGCGGATTAATATTGAAAGGACAGAAATGATCGCCTTATCCACTCACTCGGGTGACGGGTCTCCCGCTGTCCCGGTGATTGGCGCCATGGGAGCGATTGGTCCACAATTGGAGCCATAGCGATCTGTCGTATTCGTTTTGATGTGACGTACTTGTAGGCCTAGCGACTACCTTATGCACCTCATTCCCCCATTCAGCCCGGGAGGGGGACTGTCGTCCAATCAGAGAGGATCGGATGGTTGTTGAGCCGACCGCCTCTTTGTCCGTCCGCGGCATCACCCGAAAACGAAAACGAATAATTTAAATTAAGGCTGTTCCCCCTAGTAAGCCGTAGACTTATATCCCCTCCACTGTGCAATTCGCGGGCCGCGACCAAGCGAAATTGTCGATTCGGGTACTTATGTCATCAGGTCTTTAGGGTAACGATAAAATATAGTTTGAGCTAATCAATATCTGGAGGCCCAATTGGTCGCGTATCTGGGACTGACAAGACCGATTTATTATTACTACATGGAGATACGCGATGACAACGTCTTGGCTACACTGCACGACCAGGCCTACGTGCTCAACATACTATGAAGCAGGTCTCAAGCGCATCTCAGCTCCCATCTCCATCCGGACGGCCAGAGCGAATTGCTACACCGGACTTTCGGACTTGGTGACCGCGGCAAGTCCGCCCACGCAGATACTCAGACACAATAATACGGGCGCTGCGTCAGACCGGATCGAGAGGCATAGTCGTACCTGAGAATCGAAACTCCTAACTCCAAGAACTCCTAAATCCAGCCCCGTTGCCTCGGCTAAGTTCCGCTGATCGTCATCGCAGCGCCGATGCCACGTGCCATGCGGTCCAACACGTGCAAGCAACCACGACCCTGCTCTATCAATGTCCGCCAGATTGTCAGCGAGGCTGACAGCTATGTCCCAGTACTTGGTAAAGGCTGGGCTGAATGTGAATCTACATTACTACGGCAAGACTCTTTCTCTCTGCCGCTCTTGCATCCACCTGCATACGGCTTCAACAGAAAATAGAATATATAAAGTAAAAAGTCGAAATCTAAAAATAACTATATTAGACTAGGCCTCTATTAAAATTTAATCTAAATTCCACTTTTTATTAAAAAGCGATCGTTCGAAGGTTTTATTTCTAGATTATTTAATATATATTAAAAATCGATTAATTTAAGATGAAAAGATATTATTATAATTTTAATAATCTTATTTATATTATAACTTAATTACGAAGATCGATATTAAAAGTTTTAGATAGTATTAAAATATTTAATACTCTTAATATTCTTAGTACTTCTATATAGTTATATTTATTTAATAATAATATTTTATATAATTACGTATATACTTATTAGCTCGCTCGACGAAGTTATATAATTATATATTACCTCTCTTATAATCTTTTCTATACTCGTTATTATTTTTAAAATATATTATCTTTATAATATATCTCGATATTCGCTTTATCTACTTTTAAATTCTCTTTTAAGTAAGCTTATAATTCTAATAATATAGTTACCGTCTTTCGACTTTCTTATAAATTCTTAATATATCTTTCTAAATAGTATAACGTTTTATCTATAGCTAATAAGACTTAATTATATTAAAATTTAAAGAGTTATCGTATTAGACTATTCTAACGATATTAAATAATATAAATATCGCTTTTTAATACTTTAATATATATATCGAGGCTTTATCTTCTATAATTATTATATTAAATCTTTTTTATTTATACTTCTAAGCGAACTTTAAAAACTTTAAAATAAGAATTTATATTTAATAAGAAGAAGAAATATAAGAAATATAAGAATATATATCTTTTTCTAATAGCGATATTAATTAATTCCCCCCTTTTTTCTCTTAATAGTAACTTTCTTAGTCTTAGTAGTAAAGTTTTATATAGGCTTTTTACTAGAAGAATTTCGAAGGTCTATACGTCTTATATTAATCTTAAGTTTTTAAGTTTATTTAATATTAGATTTTAGAGTAATATTAATTTTAGCGAGATTCTCGATATACTTCTTCTTTTTAATAGCGATCTTAACTTTCTAGATATAATAAGAACTCTTTTTATTATAAAAAAAATACTCTTAGAATATAAACTTTATAGTATCTACGAAACGACGTCGTATATTAGATTTAATAAAGATCTCATTAAGTTAATATTATATACGCACTCTTTCTTATCGAGAATTAAGACTATATTAATCTTATTACTTTAAATTACTCTTTTCTAATCTTCTATAATTTAATTCTTATATTATAAAGTAAATTAATAACGTGCTTCTATTATAGCTTCTATAAGAGATAATTTTTTAATAGTTTTATAGACTCGGAAATTATTACGTTTAAGTACTTATAGTATTATTATAAATAAGATTTTTTATTTAGTAATAAGTATAAAAGAAGTCTTTTTACGATTATAGCGGTTTTCTCGTATAATATCTAGAATTATATTCTTAAGTATAGATATAATAATTAGAAGATATTTAAATCTAGATTTATCTATAATATATAATATCAAGAGCTTTTTAAATATAGTAAGATTATATTCTCTATTACGAGCTTATTTCTAAAGTCGACTAATAATTTAATAAGATATTTCGATAATTATAGTAATAATTTTAGTAGTAATCTTAATCTTAGCTAAAGTAAGTACTTAAATTTAAGTTTTATTATTATAATTAATACTTTAAGTATTAGATATATTAATAAAAGATAATTAAGATAGAGAATAATAAGAAGATTTCTATCTATTATATTATATAAATAAGACTTATATATTAAAAGTCTTTATACTCTCTCTCTATTCCTCTACGCTATAACTAGTACTTTAATATTATTACTATTATATATCTTATTAATATTACTATTATATATATACTTCGTATATATATATAGCGTTACTATTATATATAGTATTAATACTTATTAAAATAAAGAATTATAATACTATTTATGAAATTTAGAAGTATATTAAGTACTTAGTCTTACCTAAACCCTTATCTTAATATATTTAAAACTTTTAATATCGATCTTCGTAGACTTAGCGTATTAAGGCCTTTTAATCTTTCTATTCTATTATAAAATTTATACTTATAATTATTCTATATAAATAGTATTCTCTTTATACTATAATAAAGAATTATTATATATATTATTAAATTTCTAATATAATATTATCTATCTTTCTTTTAAAGCGATAGCGATTTATTTATTAATTATATTAAATATATAATTAAGAAGAGAGTATATTATTAAAAAATTAATAGTTATAATTAAAGAAGCTTACTATTTAAAAGATTATTTAAAAAAAGTTTTTTATTTATATAAAGATTAATCTAGCTAGATTAAAAAAATCTAAAAAAAATCTTTAATATATTAAAAGAAATAGATCTTAAATAGAATCTTCTTTATACTTTTATTAATTTAATATTAATTTTAAATTTCTTAATTTTAAATTTAGATTATATTTAAAGTTAAATTATTATAAATAAATTATAAATAAATTATTATTTAGAAGAATTTAAAAAAATTTAATAAGAAGATCTTATTAAAACTAGTATAGATGTAATATTAATATAAGTAAGATAGAATAAAATAATAAGGCTATCGAACTATATATATAGAAAGAAGATATAATATAGTAGAAGATATCTTCTATTAAGGCTCGCTAGCTATAGAGCTAAGTAATATATTAAGAATACGCTCGTAATATTATCCCTCTCTCTTAAAGAGTTATAGCCTCTATAGCTAATAGATCGAAGATATAGACTTATTACTTATCTTATATCTTTAAATATCTATAATTTCTATAGATCTTAATTAAAGAAGATTTATTTAGAATTCTTTAGAGAATTAGAAGATATAGAGTATATCTTATCTATATATCTATAAGACTCTTTAAATCCTTCTCTAATATTCTTATTATAGTCTTTTAAAAGAATTATTACTCGCTGAAATTTAAAGAAAATAAAGACTTTTAATATATACTATATTAAGTTTAATTAATACTTTTCTTTAATAGCGACTACGATAGTAATATCGCGTCTTAAAGATTTCGCTAGTATATCGCTAATAGTACTCTATTATAGCGTTAGAAGACGATTAATTTAACGAAGATTTATAAAGAATTAAATAAATAGAGATTAAAAAACGTAGTTTAATATCGAATAGTTACTTAATATTTATTTTATAATTATAAGAAAATTTATAAGATACTTCGATCTAATTAGCTAGTTACTTTTAAGTTAAATCGAGTTATAAGCGTTAAAACTTTAAATTAATATTAAATAAGTTTCTTTATAAGATATTATATAGTTAATATTAATCGAGATTATTAACGACGATAGTAAGATTTATAAATAGCGTATTATAATTTAGAAAGATATTTAGATATTTATAAATAAGAGAAGCTCGCTTAATAGATTTAATATAAGACTATTATTAAATAATATAAATCTAAGAAATCGATTTAAGAATATAAAAAAATAAGGTTACTCTAAAGATATCGAATAATTTTAATTTATCTAAAAATATAATATTCGAGATATTATCGAGTTATAATATTCTCGATTATAAAAAGCCCTAGTAATTAAGCTCGTATACTTCGTCGAAATCTATATCGAATTCGAAGTATTTATTATACTTTTATATATAAACCTAGTTCTTATTTATAAGATTCTCTATTTTAATAAGATTTAAACTCTTTATATTAAAAGTAGAATAAGTTATAATTAAGTATTTACTCTTCTTTATATTAATCTTAATCTTTACTTTTATATATTACTTCGCGAATCTTTTAATCTTCTTTTTAATTAATTTCTTAATAAATTATTAATATTA